AGGTAGATTTCTTCATGTTTTAAAGCAGAGGTGTGGCCATGATATAGCCATAGCCTTGTTTTTAAATGGACCGTTCTTATAACCTAAGTATATTGTCTAAGGTGTAACAGATGTCTTTATACATATGTACTCTATATAAAGGTAGCATGTCAGAGTGGTATACCTTAATAATGTCAACACAAAGAAACTAAAGTCTCTTTCACATGGGCAGCTTTTATACTGCCCATCTAAAACATAACATGCAGCTGGAAAGGACAGTACACATAGTTACATAGTTAGTCTGGCTGAAAAAAGACAAAAGTCCATCCAGTTCAACCATTAAAAAAAAAAAAGTTATAATCCTACACGCACAGTTGATCCAGAGGAAGGCAAAAAAAAAAAACCCCAGCAAAGCAGGATCCAATTTGCTCCTACATGGGAAAAAATTCCTTCCTAATCCTCCGAGAGGGGATATTCCCTGGATCAACTTTACCTATAAATGTTAGTGCCCAGTTATATTCTGTGTATCCAAGAAAGAATCCGGGCCTTTTTTAAAGCAATCCACTGAGCTGGCCAGAACCCACTCTTGAGGGAGTCTGTTCCACATTTTCACAACCCTTACTGTGAAGAAACCTTTCCGTGTTTAGAGATTACATTTCTTTTCCTCCAAACGTAAAGAGTGCTCCCTTGTTCTCTGTGATGACCTCAGGGTGAAGTCTACACCGAGTTCACTATATGAACCACTGATGTATTTATACATGTTGATCATATCCCCCCTTAATCTCCTCTTCTCAAGAGAGAATAAATTCAGTTCCTCTAATCTTTCCTCATAGCTGAGCTCCTGCATGCCTCTTATCAGTTTGGTGTTTGCCCTTCTCTGTACTTTCTCCAATTCCCCAATGTTCTTTTTGTGAATTAGTGCCAAAAATTGAACTGCATATTCCAGATGAGGTCTTACTAATGATTTGTACAGGGGTAAAATGATATCTCTCTCTCTGGAGTCTATACCTCTTTTAATACAAGGCATTGGCATTGTATGCCATTATTAAGCTTGTGATCTACTAGGACTCCCAGATACTTGTCCACCATTGATTCCCCCGAGTTGTACTCCCCCTAGTATGTATGATGCAGGGGCGGACTGACCATTTGAGCACTTGGGCACTGCCCGAGGGTCTGGGGTCAGTAGGGGGCCCCATGAGATGCCCCTGGTACCTTTCATTGTCTTTTTCATAGGCTTTTTTGGGTGTGGGCGATGACACAGGGACCCCATGATCCCCTATTGCCCAGGGGCCCCATGAGTTGTCAGTCTGCCCATGGTATGATGCATGCATATTCTTAGCACCCAAGTGCATAACCTTACATTTATCAACATTAAACCTCATTTGCCACATAGTTGCCCAATTAAACAGTGCATTGAGGTTGGCTTGTAAGTTGGAGACATCCTGTAAGAATGTTATTCCTTTGCACAGCTTGGTGTCATCTACAAAGACTAAAATGTTATGTTTAATCCCAGACCTTATATTGTTTATAACTATATTAAAAAGTAAGGATCCCAACACTGAACCTTGGGGTACACCACTGACAACCCTAGACCATTCAGAGTATGAATCATTAACCACTATTCTCTGAATACGATTTTTTTAGCCAGTTTTCCAGCCATTTACATATGAATTTTTCCAAGCCCGTAGACTTTACCTTACAGATTAGCCATGTATGGGGAACTGTGTCAAACACTTTTGCAAAATCCAAGTATACCATGTCCAAGGTTTTGCTCACCTCCTCATAAAAAGAAATCAGATTTGTTTGACAACTTCTGTCTTTATTGAATCCATGTCTGTTCTGTTGCTTAAAATATTTTTTCCCAGCAAGACCCCAACAATAGAAGTTAAACTAACAGGTCTAATTACTTGGTAAAGATTTTTTATCCATTTTTAAATATTGGCACCACATTGGCCTTACGCCAATCCAGTGGTACTATGCCCGTCATTAAAAAGTTCCTAAAAATTAAAAACAATGGCTTTGAAATGACAGAGCTCAATTCTTTGTCTAAATATTTTTGGATCATATCAATTGTGAGCCAATGTGGATAATCTGGAGCTGTGTCAATACCATGCCCATTATGGACAAGAGCTCCTCCATGCTCCTTTGTATACACAGAGCTGAAGAAGGTATTTATTAAATTGGCCTTCTCTTTGTCCCCAGTCCCCCACTCTAGATTATTTTGTAAAGGGCCTACATGCTCAGACCGGACCTTTTTATTATTAATATATTTGAAGACTTTTTTGGGGGTTGGTCCTGCTATCTTTTGCAATCTGTCATTCGTTTTCAATTTTTGCAGCCTCTACTTCCTTTTTGCATATTCTGTTGTATTCTTTGTAATGTTTAATCTATGATATAGTTCCTTCAAATTTATATTTAATAAAAGCTCTTTTATCTTACAAGCTATATTATCTATACCTTTTTTAACTTTGGCTGTAAGCCACATAGGTTTGATTTTTAGCCTTTTAAACTTGTTGCCCATGGGAATATATTTTGCAGTATGTTCACATACAGTGTTTTTGAAGAACTACCATTTCTGTGTTATGTTCATTGATGCCAATATTCCCTCCCAGTCTAAGTCTTGGAGAGCAGCTCTCAACCTTGGAAAATTAGCTCTTAAAATTGAGTGTTTTTATTTTCCCCATATGTGCTTGCTGTTTACAACTAATAATAAATGAATTCATGTTATGGTCACTGCTACCCAGATGTTCTTTTAATGTGGACATTCATAATAAGCTCTGCATGATTTGAGATTACTAGGTCCAGCAGAGCATCATTCCTGGTTGGGGCATCTATGAACTGTACCATAAAATTGCCCTGTAGTAGGTTTAAAAATGTTTGCCCTTCAACTGTTCCTGCAGTATCATTACTCCAGTCAATTTCCGGGTAGTTAAAATCCCCCATTATTATAACTGTCCCAGCCCTTGTGATCTGTGCAAGGAGCTGAGTCTCCACCTCCTCATTAACACTGGGAGGCCTATAACAAACTCCAATGATTACCTTTGTAGTTCTACCCATAATGCTTCAGCCTCATCACACTCTCCATCAACTAGGCCCTCTTTCACACTCGCTCTGAGATCACTTCTCACATAGAGACAGACACCTCCACTTTACCCTGTCTCACTGAAAGAGAACATAGCCAGGAATATTAATGGCCCAGTCATGTGAAGAATGAAGCCAAGATGCAGCAATACCAATTAACTCATAGTTCTGTTAATGCACCAAAGCATCCAACTCACCTATTTTGCTTGGCAGACTTCTGGCATTGGTGAACAAACACTTTAATTCATTGACACATTGTGTTCACGTATTTTGCATATTTTTTATTTTCATATAAATGGTACCACGTCCACTGGTTGTTTGTAACATGGGAACCTTCTTATCATCTATCATAGCCCTCCCCCATCTTTCCCTAATCTACTGTACTAAAGTACTGACCCCTGTCTGATCTGTCTACCCCATTATAATATAATTCTTCCCCCCCCCCCTTGATCCTAGTTTAAATACTCCTCCAGCCTTCCCGTAAACCTCTTCCCCAGCACAGCAGACCCCCTTCCATTTAGTTGCAAACCATCGCTAGCATATAGGTTGCACCCCACATAATTTTATCATGGCAAATTTAACTCAGCATACCAAATTTGACAGGCGCACCACTCGTCTAACTTGTCCCAGCTAAGAAAAAGTATCGGTGCTCATCATGTAGGAGGACCCTTCCTGTAGGTGGTAAGCTTTAATATGGCTGCTGGTGTATATTCATTCATACACATATATTTCATGAAAACCACAGACCAATCTTTATGCTATTGTTTTTTGCCAAATTTGCGAGGATAGCCAAATGTCACACATTTTACTTTGCAAGTGGCCAAAACTTTACATGTTAAACTTCATGTTTCTGTCAGCTACTACACACCTTTTTAAATACACTCAGAAAAGAAATAGTGGGACTTTTAACCATGCTACATTTTTATTGCTTATTCCTGAGATTGTAACACTGTTAAAAGTCCCTCTTTTTTTTTTTGTGTGTGTTTTTTCTGTGTGTATTTCTATAGTCAGTTTTGGGATAAAGGCATACCTAAATTTTGGACCAAACCTGAGCTCATCGTTAATTGCTACAACTTTCTCTTAGTATAGCTTACTCCAGAGGAAGCCGTTTGTTCCAGCCAATTGCTACTCTTGGCAAATAATCACTAACAATGGCAAATTATAAATGGCAATTTAGTAGCTTGATTGAGCCACTAAAATCTTTGCTCTAGTCTAATGAGGTGACTGTCACAAGTTAGCTTGCAGCCTTTTGTGTGTCTACTCTTACCTCCATGCTGCTCTCGATTCCTTCACATGTGTGTTGTTCTGTGCTCACCTATGGGCGTCGTCTGCTATTCCCTTGGGTTTATGTCCTTCTCTTCCATCACTTCCTGTCCCACCTCCTTGTCTGCCTGTCTGTTTAAGATGTGCTCAGACTAGGCCACATTGCCTGAGCAACTATTGTTGTTGGAGCTCCCCAGTGTTCTTCTGAATCCGTTTAGTATATCCGTGTACCGACCCCGGCTTCATCCCTGACACTCCTCCTGTATTGTCTATCCGTGCACCGACCCCGGCTCGTTCCTGACATCACTAGTGTTCCGCCTGTCCTGACCTTGGCTTGCCTACTGTATATCCTGTCTCTACTCCCATTGCACCCTGCTCCCGCTTGCGGTCTCTTCTACCTCAGCTGGGTGTACCCCGGGGGGGCCGCAACCTGGTTTCCAGCCTGCTCCAAGTCCATCCCCACCATCAGGGTCCCTGGTAAACAAGCAGGCTGGGGCTTAGACCCCGCCCCTTGGGGAACCCCAAGCTGTGGTTTTATAGAGCTCACTACCATAGACGTGACAGTGACTGATAGCAAATTGTTAAATCTATAAATAGCAAGAGATTTTAATCACCCTTAAGGCTAAACTCTTACTCTTCACTTTTCTACTCAGCAATTACATAAGCAGATGACCTACCAGCCCATCTTCATTTGAACCACGATGGCCTAATGGGATATCTCTACCATTTTCATCAGAAGCTTTTATTTCTATACCAATACTGGATTCAGATTGTTTAAGCCAGTTTTGCAGTGCAGCTTTCACATCAAAGCTTTTCCAGACACCAGGTCCAGGGGCCATCTCAAGCTTCAGTGCCCGGATTCCAGTAGCTCTTGTGCCATCGTTTGATGATCTTGAAAGTCTGAATGTCTGCACAAAAACTGTGGTATGTCTTTGGACTGGCTTCAAATAAATCCAAAGCTGAGCTTTTGCTATTTTATTGTACTGCATTATAGAGCTGAATTTGAAGTAACAACATTTTTGTTTCTCTGTAGTTGAAAGGTCATCTGTAAAAAAACAAAACAAAAAATAAATAAATAAATCTTTACTGGATCACATTGCAGAAAAGATTTAAAAAGGTTTAGCAATTTGCAACTTAAGGTGAGGAATTTGAGAGGGGTTCGTATGTAAAGATTTTAGCAGGTGTAACAGGGTTCGCTTGGCAGCGGGGTGTGTGACCCCCCCTGGATGGGTGCACAACACAAAAACACAGGCACAGCACAACAGTGGAGGTGAAAAAACAAAAAGGTGCAGTTTATTTACAATATTTACAGGAAAACGTCAAACCAAAAAGAAACATCAAATCCTGGCCAACTTGGCTACTTACTGTACAATTAGCTTCCCTAGCTATCCACCAGGTACAGCCTGATACTATACCTAGTCCCTGTTAGTTGGAGGCTTAGCCACACAGGCTTTTGTCTCACTGTACACAGATAGTATGTTGCTCCCCAGTCAGTTCAGGTACAGATCTGGTCCCAGGTTGGAGCAACTCCCTAAGCAGGCTGGGAAGTTTTATAACGGCCTAATGAGCCCAATACCTTCAGCTGAGCTCATTACCTCAGTGCTGAAGGACTCAGCACTTCCCCCTAGTGGAACAAATCCCCATAGAGTCTAAACCTTGGACAAATGTATTGTCCATCCAGGACGCAACCAGGTGATTTCACCTGCCTTATTCGCACAGGAATAAGGTCGTATAGGAGATAATTTTACTTGGATGCGTTTTTAACACAGGAATGTACTACAGTGAATGTAAACCCTAACTGAATGGCACTGAGTTTATTTGTGTCATACACAAACTACTGTTTTAAAGTACTTGTATCTTCATCCTTTGTTGCATCTCAGCATTGCCAATCTTCTGAAGCCTCTTTGCAGCTATGATCTTTTTTCATGAATGCACACCAGCAGCTGCACATCTCCCAATTGTTCTCTTGGTTGTGACCAGAGATGAGCTCAGGCATGTTTGGACATAAGTTTGAACTTGCCTGAATTATCCTGCCAGGAAGCTGTCATAGACAGCCATCAGAGGTGGCAATGGCATTCCCCATCTTGCAGCCTCATATATACAAGGGATGTGCATATGTTTGGCTGTGGGGCAGGAAATGCCTCTGCTGCCTATGATGGGTTGTCGGCTTTGACAGCTTCACAGTGGGATGGCTCAGGTGGGCTTGGACTCATGTCTGAACACGCCTGAGGTCACCACTAATAATGACAATAGTTAAACATATCTGCACAATGTGTGTTGGCATAGCCCCTCTGTAATTAGAGTAACTGAGAGGAGAACAACACAGGAGAAAATGGGAGGCAGGGATAGAGTGCTGTCACTATATAACAGGAAGTGCCAGAACAAGGACTTTAATGACAGGAATAAAATATATTATTTCATTAAAAGCTGCAGGTTTATAATCTTTGAAAACTACTTTTGAAACAACATGCACATGGTAAAGCTTGCTATATTTTGCAATTCCTTTATGTATCCAAAGGTTGCATAGTACAATATATGAAAGAATATGGCGTTGAAGGGTATATAGGCAACCAAAATATCAGTAGCAATGGCTAGACAGCAAAGTTTACTTATCTGAAAATTAACATGTGAGAGTAGAACAGACTTCCGGTCAAATATCAGACAACAAGACCTAAATGTTACTGCAAGAATCGACAAATAGCACCTTTGACAAACTCATACAGATATAAAAGTTGGAATGCAACCAAATATGAAAAATGAAAGTAAACAATACCAGGATTTCCAAATGGATGTTGAGGGCCAAAAGAAAAGACCCGTAAGGAAATATTTCACCATGTAGGCAGGAAATACTGGCAGGGAGGCAGCATAAAGCTGCAAATGGTATGTCTCATAACTAGTTGGAAAAAGTAGAGTGATGGAGGGAGATGGAGAAGAGAGCAGGGAAATGTAAGGAAGGAAAGAAGTGTGGAATAAAAGATTGAGAGCAACAACTCTAGCTAAAGAAATGAGAGAAGTGTGGAAACAGTCGGTGTGTTGTTGTGCACCAGGACAGCCCTAAAAAACCCTAGAGAATCAGAAAAGCAAAGCAAGGGTTCTATCTCTTGCCCAGGGCCCATCAATATAAATGTAGTATTTGCACGGTCTCCAGGTATCCTGAAAAATCTCCTCCCGTTCATATAATGTGGCCGTGAGGTCCTCCATGTTCCTGAGTTCATAAATTTTGGAGTACCAAAGGGACCATGTAGGTGGGTTCACAGATCTCCAGCAAAAGGGGATAGAGGCCTTCGCTGTGTTTAAGAGATGGATCGTTAAGGAGACCTTATACTTTTTGATGGGACGTTCCATGAGGTGCAGCAGACCGGATTCTCTGTTAAATCCACATTCGTCATCAGAAGTTTAATGATGCTAGTCACTGCTTGCCAAAGCGGTCTATTTTTGGGGCAGGTCCAGAAGATGTGGAACATCGTTCCTCAATCAGTATCACATCGCCAGTGCAAGTCCGAGATGTGTGGAAAAATACGGTGTAATGTCGTTGGCACCCTATACCACCTAGTGAGGATTTTATGACTGGTCTCTTGGACCTTGGTGGCAATACAGGATTTCTGTGCGAAATGGAGAATTTCTCCTTTTGTGAATCAGAGAAAGGTAGGGGTGAAATCCTTCTTTGGTCGGGTCAGGGCAGCATAAAGGGTTGAGAGGCAGTGGCGGATCAGTTCCCTTCAGTGACAGATACTTTCCAGTTCTGTAAGTTGACAGTGAATGCCCAGTGGACAAGAACAGTGACGGAGAAAATGTCTAAGCTGTAGGTTGTTCCAGAAGTCTAGAAGCAGGTCCACAGCATTGGCAAGGACAAAAGAGGAGAGCTTGGCATCAGTCTCCAGGAAATCCTAGAGGTGGAGATGACCACCTGACAACATGCATTGAATTTGAGAGCTGTCAAACGACAGTGGGGAAATTGAGGAGCCGTGAAAGGCCTCTTTAGAGACCATCAAAGTGCTTCCGAGGGTGGGATGGTCAGTAAGGTCTCTTGGTAACTGCAAGGAAATCCAGGGCCAGCTTTTCGCAGTGGCACGGGAATCCTCCAATTCCATCGCCACCCAATGTTTTGCCTTAGCATGACAATGCCAGTCCACCAGCCTAGTAAGATGAGCCACTCTATAATAGACTTGGATGTCAGGGAGGCCAACTCCACCCTAATGTTTGGAAATATGAAGGAGTTGGAGATGGGATTTTCTGTGGGACCATACAAACTCCCAATAGAGGGAATTCACTCGTTTAAAGAACCTGGGTGGTTGTCAGATGGGGAGGGCCTGCAGGAGATAAAGTACCCTAGGCAATACCATCATCTTGAGGATGTTACAACGACCGAACTAGGTTAAGGTAAGAGAATGCCAACAGAGCAAGTCAGCGCTCATAAGGAGGAGCAATGGTTCAAAGTTAACCTCATAAAGGGTGGCAGGGTCAGAGGTAATACTGACTCCCAACTAGCAAATACAGTCAGTAGCCCAATGAAAGGGAAAAGAGGGACGAAGGCATCCAATTATATCTGGAGTCACCAAGATGTTAAGGCAGAGGATTTGGATAAATTGATTTGAAAATATGAGAGTGCTCCATGCAGATTGAAGCAAATTCGGCAAGGACACTAAAGGATCTGTCAAGAAGAATAGGTCATCCGCAAAGGCGGCTACTTTGAGGGTGTCGGAGGCCTTATAGAAGCCCAAAATGCCAGAATCTGGTCTTACTGCACAAAGAAAGGGCTCAAGATATTATAAAGATCAGAGGAGAGAGCAGACATCCCGGCGGGTGTTATTTGTGATCTAAAAAAAGTCAGACCTCGTTTCATTAACTTTAATGGCATCCAAGGGACAGGAATAAATGGAAAGATCTAGCTCAACAAGGCAGACCTCAGCCCGATATGTTTTAAAAGTAGTATGCGTGAACTATCCATAGACAGCAAGAGAAGGGGATGGCGGGAAGTCCTGGTAGCACAAATCAAGTTGTGGACCCAGATCGTGTTATCCCTAGGTTCACAGAAAGGTAGGAATCCTGCCTGATCCCGATGAACGAGACATGGGATTTGAGGGAGTAACCGATTAGCCAGAATTTTGGCAAACAACTTCAGGTCAGAATTAAAGAAGGCAAGCCGGTGGTAATTCCTGCATTGAGAAGGATCCTTTCCCCCCATGGGGATTAAAGAGATGTAGGCCTGTAGGGCATTCAGAGGCATAGATTTCCCCTGAGTAATGAAACTGAGAGCAAGGACCAGGTGGAGAGACAATATCTCTTATAATAGGCTGGGGTAAGGCCATCAGGACCAGGAGCTTTTTTGGGCTTGTATTGGGCCAGAGCCACCCCTAGCTCTTTCACTATAATTGGTTCCTCATGGACCTCAGGGGGAAGGGATAGCATACCCGAGGCTGCTATATAAGACTGCATCGTTGATGACCAAGATTGTAAAGGCTGTGATAGAAGTTTCGGAATTCCGTTGCCATCGCAGTGGAGGTAGTCAATTTCTGTCCAGAGAAGACCTGTATATGTGAAATATAGGTGTTAGTTCGGGGTTCCTGTAGGGTCTGAGCCAACAACGTGCCTGGTTTGTTTGAAAATTCAAACATACTGCGGTGGGCCAATGCCAGTTTTTCTTCATCTTATGGTAAAGAAGGGACCATAACTCTTCCTGGACTCTGAGAAGATCCTGACAGGTGACAGCATTCTAGTCTGCGTAGTTCAACCAATAGCTCGTCTGACAGCAAGTGCACTCACTGTTGAAATGTGCCACAATTCTGATCAAATGCATCCCATACCACCAATTTGTGGGCCTCCCAGACAACCAATGGGTTGTCTACCGAGTCACGGTTGATGGAAAAGTATTCCATCAAGATCAACTGCAGTGTGGGGCAACAGTCTGGAGACTGTAACAGGGTCCCATTCAGCTTCCACAATGGGATACTGTGCAGAATCAGGTCCAATTGAAGGGTTAGATTAACTGGAGCATTGATCAGAGAAAGAAATCACATCCATTTGTGCAGATGCCACTCTACATAG